ACTGAACTACAACCTATATCGGTGAGACGACAAAAGAAGAAGAAGAAGAAGAAGAAGAAGAAGAAGAAGAAGAAGAAGAAGAAGAAGAAGAAGAAGAAGAAGAAGAAGAAGAAAGAAGAAGAAGAAGAAGAAGAAGAAGAAGAAAAAGAAGAAGAAGAAGAAGAAGAAGAAGAAGAAGAAGAAGAAGAAAAAGAAGAAGAAAAAGAAGAAGAAGAAGAAGAAGAAGAAGAAGAAGAAGAAGAAGAAGAAGAAGAAGAAGAAGAAGAAGAAGAAGAAGAAGAAGAAGAAGAAGAAGAAGAAGAAGAAGAAGAAGAAGAAGAAAAAGAAGAAGAAGAAGAAGAAACTGGAGAGGGAGCCAGTCTCATACCAACATTCCTTAACTGCTTCTTACGGCATGTCTACCCTGTCTTATAACTCTTGAAAACGTCTACAGTGAATCATAGATGCGGTTAAAGATGTCATGGTCGGCCTCTGTTACAATACAACGTTGTGATTTTTGATATCGTCGTTTCCTAAATCCATTTGTTTCTAATTTTAGGACACTGGTAATCGTCTGTCCACACCTTGTGATGTGCCCAATATACCCACCTCCCCCATCTTCTCTGTATTATAACTGTTGAACACCATCTTTTGTGAATAACAGATGGGTTGAAGATGGAGTGTCTGGCCTCTGTTACGCCATTGGGTTGCGTTCAAGCGGGACCCGAATGGTACATATATTGAGGAGGATTCATGGTAATACGAAGCCACATAAAGTAGTCCATGCAGTGTGAAGGTCAGGAAGTGAACAGGCATAAATCAGACAATTACTGCAGGCGTGTTAAATAAATGCACAAGCAACAATGGTCCTGTACCAAACTTGAATTGGGGAACACATTTCTTAACGAATGCAGGCATTACTTATTCACTAGGGCTGTACCGAATATTCGCTTCGTATTCGCTTCGGGGCCGAATAGTGGACCTAATAACTATTCGGTATTCGGCCGAATAGTTGCGGTCAGGCAGAATACGAATAGTGGTTACCTTACTCCCGTTTCTGCATATACTGTGATGGACTGAAATAACTCTCTCACAGTAGTTTCTGTTGCCTTAGTCTGTCGTAGCGGGGGAAACTGCGACCCGGTTGCGTGGTACAAACTGCAGAAAATGCCAACCGCAGTGTGTGTGTGTGCGTGTGTGTGTGTGTGTGTGCGTGTGTGTGTGTGTGTGTGTGTGTGAGTGTGTGTGTCTGTGAGAGAGAGAGAGAGAGAGAGAGAGAGAGAGAGAGAGAGAGAGGGGGGGGGGAGAAAGAAAGAGATCATGCATTTTTTAAAGGATTTCTTCGCCCAAATCAAATTTGAAGATATTGCTAACGAGAATATGAAGGCGCGTTTAAATTACATCGAACGAACGGCCGAGCGAACGGTGGTTTTGAAAGAGGCGGGAGCCCGAAGACAGCTAATCACAGACATCAGAAGAAGACGGTCGTCATTTTTCAGCCATGTTATGAGAAGAGGGAAAATGGAACATGGTGACCACTGGAAAGATCTGTGGAAAGAGGGATAGAGGAAGACAACGATAGAAGATTCTTGACAGTCTTGTTGCAAGGCATGGAGGTGCGCCAGCACACGAACTGATACATGCTGCAGGAGATAGCACATTGTGGAGAGGCATGATCGCACACACCTGATGATGATGATACACTATTCGTATTCGTATTCGGCCGAATAGTTGGGCCCACTATTCGTATTCGGCCGAATAGTGAAAATCACTATTCGGTACAGCCCTACTATTCACACTCGCCATTGCCAGAAGCTATGATTATCATGGCGACCTATAGCACAGTATAACACCATCGCCTGGGAAAATAGAATGGTGTCTTCTATATAGGACAGTATTAATTATACTGTTTCACAAATATATATATATATATATATATATATATATATATATATATATATATATATATATATATATATATATATATATATATATATATATATATATATATCAATGTTTTGTGTGTTTGTTTGGTCTCTATAGACTCGGAAACTACTGAACCGATTTAGCTGACATTTTCAGGATATGTTTGTTGTGATACCGGATTTTGAACCGTCGTGGTTTGAAATTCAACCTGTCACTGTTAGAGATAGGTGACCACAATTAATGCCAAAATATACGCAACTAATATTTATAACTTTAGTGATTTCTAATTATAGCTACGTTAGTAATTGCGCATGCGCCGTATTTACCATTCGCCGGCGAGTTACGTGCAGCCAACGCCTTCTCTAATACTAATACATAGAGTAGGTCGTGGTACAGCAAACAAGACTATCTCTATATTTGCCACAATAACCATATTAAACAGGATTTCTATTTTCTGTTTTTTTTTTCTCAAACAACCTTCGATTGGGGGGGGGGGGGGGGGGCAATCAAGGACTATCTTGACGTCGGCGCAGACATTGACTGCGTCATTAACTTCATTAGACATGTGCGATTTCCATTGTCTTTCTTTTCTAAAAACCTTTGATGAGGGAGAGGGTACTAGGTGGATTTAGTTGTGTGTGTGGGGATTGGGGGGGGGGGGGGGAATCAAAGACTATCTCAAATTACGCCACAGCAACGCGTGGCCGGGTACAGCTAGTATATATATATATATATATATATATATATATATATATATATATATATATATATATATATATATATATATATATATATATATAACAATCTTAATTTTCCGATGTTGTAATCCCTAAACTCGGAAACTACTGAAGCGATTGCTTTCAAATTTGCACACAACGTTGCCTTCGACTCCAAGCGTGATTTTTTTCCCAGAAAATCGCACAAACCACGAACGACGTAGCTCCAGTAACGGTCAAATCATTATTTATTTCGTTGCCGGGCCGGATTTCTTTTTAGTTGATTGGCTATTTTTGGCTGCGGAGCTCTTATTGAACTTTGCATTATTATATAATCTTATTTCCACTATCTGTTCGAGTGTTTGGTAGCGTAGTTGATAACTATTCTGCTTATCATGCGGGTGACACGCGTTCGATTCCCCGCTAGGGAATATAATTTTTTTTTAGCCCCTAACTGGGCGGTTGGCACGTTGTGTTGTGGTTTATCTACACCTTTTTCTGTTTTGGGGTTTACAGCTAGCCTGCGAAAGCGGCGACGTGAAGCTCAGCGGTCATGTCACGGGTAATTTTCGTTCGCCCTCGAGAGGGCCGTTGGCACACGTTGTGTTGTGGTTTACAGCTAGGCTGAGATTTCTGACCCATACTCTTCAGTCTTCGGTAGTATTGTAAGTAATCCATCCTTTACGCGGGTGACCGGTGTTCGATTCCCCGCAGGGTGATAATTGTTTTTGTTTTTCCCTTAACGGGGTGGTTGCCACGTTGTGTTGTGGTTTACAGCTAGGCTGCGATATCTGCGCCTTTCGCCCAACTACATCCGACTTCAGTTAAGTCCCAATTAGCCTCCCCGCGACGCTTCTCGATCAAAAACTATTCGGCGATGACAGAAACTATTACCTAAGACGGCTTAGTGTCCCCTTTAGTTTAGGTGGACACGGATACCACGGTCAGTTAAACATCGTTCCTTCGGAGAGGGAGAGATGACGGGTGCGGGGTATTTTCTTCCGCTATTCGTGAGCATAGTGTACATTTTACTGTGGGTTCCATCACTGGTTACGTGATGAAGTTTTTTTTCCTATGTTGGGGGCAAAATTAAACTACATAGTCCGTGACGACAGTATGCGGCGCTAACTCCTCTTTTTTACACCGACCTACACAGACTGTAGTCAGTTTTTGTTGTTGTTGTTATTGTGATGGTTGTAGTGGTAGTGGTTGCAGTAGTACTAGTACTGGATGGGTGATGTGGTAGCTGTTACACTGGCCACATTTACTTCTCAGTACAAATTAATGCTACATATTTAAGTCTGGGTGGACATGGATGCCAAGCTCAATTTAGTTACACTATTTCGTCACATGATGACTTTCCCATCTTTCGGAGAGGATTATATGATTACTGGGGGGGGGGGGGGGGGGGGGTAAGGGATTTGATGCCAGACACTGTTAACTAAGAGAGCTTAAAACATTATTTTAAAGTTCTCATTCTTTAACTATATTTATTTTATTAATTTCGCAAGGTCATGATTTTTCAACCATCCTTCGGAGAGAAGGATATGATTAGTGGGTGGAGGGGGGGGGGGGTTAGGGGGTTGATACCAGACACTGTTAACTGAGAGAGCTTAAAACATTATTTTACAGTTCTCATTTCTTAACTATTTCTATTTTACTAATTTCGCCAGGTGATGACTTTTCAATCCTTTGGAAATAGAGATATGATTGGTGGAGGGGGTGGGGTTATGCCAGACACAGTTAGCTGAGCGAGCTTAAATTATTATTTCACAGTTCTCATTTCTCAACTATTTCTATTTTATTAATTTCGCCGTGGATTATTTTTCAATCCTTCGGAGAGGGAGATATGACTAGTTCGAGGGGAGGGGGGGGGGATATGACAGACACTGTTAGCTAAGAGCTATATTCTTTCCTCTCCATTTCACTATTCTGGGCCACAGCAACGCGTGGCCGGGTACAGCTAGTAAATGCATAAAACGCAAAGTCGTCCGATGGCGCGTTTTATTAATAGACGGAAACGCCCGTATACCTAAAAACTATCAATGGTCGAGATGAATAAGAAGAAGAAGAAGAAGAAGAAGAAGAAGAAGAAGAAGAAGAAGATGAAGAAGTAGTAGTAGTAGTAGTAGTAGTAGTAGTAGTAGTAGTAGTAGTAGTAGTAGTAGTAGTAGTAGTAGTAGTAGTAGTAGTAGTAGTAGTAGTAGTAGTAGTAGTAGTCGATTAAGAAGAAGAAGAAGAATAAGAAGAAGAAGGAGAGGAGGACAAATTAAACTACTAGGTACAGAATAATTTTTTTACTAGCAATTACCACGAGACAGTCTTAACAAATGAAAGGGATTCCGTGAGTTAACGTAAACAAAATAATGCATGACTCACCTCTGACGAGTGGACTCTTCTGGTGGTAAGACGCCAGCATAGAGGAAGGAGGGGGCGGGAAATGGGAAGACAGCGTTGAAGGGAAACTGTGAGGGGAGACCGGCTGACTGTCATCGGTTGTGGAACTTTCCAGAGATCCCCGGTCACTGCCGCTGTAGTAGTGGTGGTTCGCGGCGGGGATGCTGCCAGATGGTCCTCTGTTCAGCAAGTCTGGTACCTGGCCGTACATCTGGACTGGTTTGTGTTGCTGAAGCTGCTGTTGCTGCTGTCGCACAACTGTTGGATTCACATTTGAAAACATTTCAGACAACTAGTACAACCGTTGGATTAACGTTTGAAAAAAATTTCAGACAACTAGCACAACTGTTGGATTCACATTTGAAAACATTTCAATTATATTAGAACCTCTACAAGTTGGCCACGCGACGGACTTAACCAGCCGGTCAACTTACAGAGATAAGTCAACATACGGAATGAGGACTGTTGTACTGGTACTATGCTTCCTTTAAGAACCTACACTAAAGAATACAGCGTATCCTTTACATGCCGTTGCGTTCAGTAGTTTGCCACTGCTTCCTCAACGGTCAGCTGTCGGTACCACTGTCCAAACCCGTACAAGACAAATCGTCTGCGGCAGGGATCGAACCCGACACCCCGGCACCACAAAGCGAGCTCGCAACGCCTAAGCCACAGACGTTAACAATACAGACAGTATAATACTTAAACACACACAACCACAACATCAAATCAATTAATTATCATCTTTTTGTCATCTTTTAAGCATTCTTTCTGAATAGGTTTAGAGGTTTTGAACAACGGATCAACATCATGGCACACGGGTGTAACCCATAAGTGCTCCGTTCTTCTAAGCCAAGTCGATGTTAATGTCCGGATCAGAGCGGAGGATGTCCAAATGACGAAAGAATACTTTGGAAGCAACCACATTGTTAGGGTGAAAAGTCAAGATCAATTTAGGTGCATCATTGGTGGAGTTACGTTTGGTAGGAAAAGCATCTCTCCTGGTGATTGCTAAAACTTTGTTTAGAGCCCCTTGTAGAATGTGTTCCGGATAGAAACGGGCACGGAAGAATTCAAGAAGTTCAACTGATTTATCAAAGAAGTCAGAATCATCAGAGCACAACCTGCGCAATCGAAGGAGCTGTGAATATGGAATAGAATTTTTACACGGTAGTGGGTGAGAAGACGTATAGAGGAGATAACTGTGAGAATCCGTGGGTTTGTAGTAGGCTGTGGTTTTCAGACACGGAAAATCGATGCTAATCGTGATGTCAAGAAAGTTAACTGAAGTGGTTGAGATCAGTGAGGTGAATTTGATAGCCGGATTGAAATTGTTGATGTAATTAATAAATTGGTCAAGCTCAACCATGGACATTTCGGTGATACCAACGCCATCATCTATGTATCTCCTATACACCTCCGGAAACTTGCCCGGGTATGATAAACTGACCTCGTATTCCAGGTGGCCCATAAAGAGGCACGCGTAACTAGGACCCATCTTGGTGCCCATCGCGACCCCACTGATCTGGTCAAAATACTCACCATTGAACTCAAACGAGTTAAGGGTCAGTACCAGTTCGGCAAGGCGTACAAGAACTGAAGTAGGGATGATCGGGTTGGACCTTCTGTCCAAAAAGAACTGGAGTGCTCTAAGACCATCAGAGTGAGGGATAGACGTATAGAGGGAACATACGTCTATCAGGAAAAGATGATAGGTTTTACCGGGAAGTAATCTGATGGATTCGAAAATGTTGAGGGCATGGTTGGTGTCCTTGACAAATGAAGGGAGACTGGTGACAATCGGTTGGAAAATACTATCTAAAAATTCAGAAAGATACACCGTGGGACAGGAGCATGCAGATACAATGGGACGTCCAGGGTTGTTGGGCTTATGGATCTTAGGCAGCAAGTACATACACGGTTTGCCAAGTTGGCTGTCAAAAACACGCATATTGTTAGCCTGCTTAGGAAGAGTACCCTGTGAAATAAATGATTGTAACGTGTCATTCTAAGCCAAGCCTGAGTCCGAAGAAGCTCAGCACAGTGCACAGTCTCTGTAACACCGGCGAGGATCGTGAAATACTTTGGGTAGATTTTAAACTCCAAATTTTGTCCGGGCAGCGCCGTTAGGCTACTCTTTTCAATGTCCAACTGCCAAGGGATTTTTTAAGTGCGCAACAATGCACACGGGTGTCCGATCTCCCTACCCTAGACCGGGGGAATTACAAAAGTCCAAGTTCACGTGAAAAATCCCAGCACCTGCCGGGGATTGAATCCGGAACCTCTAGCACTCGAAGCGGACACCATGCCTAGAGACCACGCAGCCTCCTCATTCTGAATAAAGGCGTCACTCTTGATTTTGTGCCTTATTACAAACGAAAAAGGAGAAATCACTCTCAACGATGGCTACAATGATGAGAGAAAAGCATAGGCGTCCCAATGTCGAAAGCAATTTTTGTTGTTTCAAAGCCTCAGCCTGGATGTTGCCGGGGACCCAAATATAACCCAACCTATGGATTAAACGGGATTTCTGAGACCTGTCCCCGGATGATCATCATCCGATCGGTAGGACTTTGTGTTACCGGGTGTTTATCGCGTGTTGTGCGGTCCTGGTGGGGTTGAACGTGTCAAACAATGTTCAGCATACCAAGGCATTTTCCCACTGTAAATAATGTCAGCTGCATTGTCAGATGCCTGACGGCCTTTTCTTTTGGAGTCTGCAATTTCTGTTATCAACTTGTTTTTTGAACTTTACTGTTTTATGGACTGTTACGCTGGTCTGTACTTCCATGAATATCACTGGCAAAATTTCTTTAGTGTGTGGTTCTGTACATTTAATATGTATAGTCTGGCAAGGTGCATCACGGAGAACACCCGTTGTCATTTAGGCCTGCCTTCTCACGTGCAATGTGCCTAGAGTAAAGTGTACCAGACAGCCGATGAGGCGAAAAATACGACTAGTACAGTGGAAATGTCGGCTTTGTGGCTAAGTCGATGCGAACGCTTCGTAATGCCAGGATGCAGGGTTCGATCCCAGCAGCGGGCCATGGGCCTTGCGTTGGTTTCGACGGTGGAACCAAGAAAGCCGACCGTCCAGTAGGCTATGGCAAACTACTGGACGTAAATTTGCCTAGAAAAACCACACAACAACCAGTGGCTGTTGGGATTGGTTCTGCAACGTCCTGTAAAGGATGCGCAACTAACCTACTACAGTGGAAATATTATACGTCTTTTTACTGCCTGTATTTATGGCGGTGTGTGTAAAGGAGTCACCATCCGCTAAAAAAATGGTGTGGGGGATCCTTAGGGAATCTATTCCTTCGAATGATATAATTGGTGATGAACTGTCTGATGGGGCTAACACATCATGCTCTTGGGTTGTAACAAATCCAGCTTTCTTAAAGCACTTGTGCATAATTTCCGGCATTTCCATGAAGGACTGATCCAGAGGTCATCGCCAAGAGTGCATGTGATGCAGTAGACCAAGTTGATCCATAAGCAGACTACAGATCTTTTTTAATGTAACGAATCACTGGATCGATCCTGAATCAGTCATCCCCATGTGGGATGCAATTTTTCGTTATTTGAAGCCTCACTCTGGCTTTTGCCAGGGGGGCCCTGAATATAACCGGGCCTTAACGGCTGAAAGGGGTTTTTGGGACCTTTCCACAGGTCAACCTCATCCGCATGGTGTCACTTGGGGTGTCACCGGGCCTTTATCGCTTGTGTCATGTCATAGTGGGGTACAACGAGAGAAAGGGGGGGGGGGGAGAGAGAGAGAGAGAGAGAGAGAGAGAGAGAGAGAGAGAGAGAGGGGGGGGGGAGAGACAGAGAGAGACCACTGGAAGAGCTGAGCCCGGTAGTACATCCCAAATGTTTTGATTATGCCCTGATTAATAGATTGGGTTGTTGAGGTCGCATTTGGTGGCAGAAATGTCAGTGTCACCCAGGTGACACAATTCACTTGTGGGTAGCCAGGTCAGTTGTCTGCTGTCAGTTTCTCCTTCGTTTCTCGGTGGATATCCCTTACCAACTCCTCAAATAGAATGCTGGATAGTCAGGCATTTTTGTAGTCTGCAATTGAAGTAGGAACTGTGGGTGGGGGTTGCATCGAGCTTTAGGTTCCGGAATGTCAGCAGCTTTGCTGATTTAGCGATCAAAAATGGCTTTGCCTTTTTTTCAGGCTGAGCTGGTGCAAAGCATAACTGTGAAATGTTCTATGGAAAGGTCAACAAACGAACGAACAAACGAACGAACAAACGAACGAACAAACTTTATTTTCAAAGGGTTAAGAATTGGGCACACAGGCCCGTCTTACATTCTGCCCTTCTGGCCTCACGCCATGCATACATTATTTATGCACACATTGCCTACATTTCAAAACAATTATAATATTAAATATAATAAATCTTGGTGGAAATCAACATTACTCTTAGGAAACTTTATCTTCTAAGGGGGCATGTAGTCTGAAGTGAGATAATATTCAAAAAGCTTCCAATTGTAATTGTAGGGGTTGTTGATATTTTTGACTGGTTGTGGAAGTTGGTTCCATAGATGAGCTGCAGAGTACGCCAAGCTTGTTTTGTACAAGTCTATTCTACGTTTAGGGATGTGTAATATGTTTAGGCGTTTGCCATGTCGCCCATTATACTTGAAGAATGGCCAAAGGTAGTCTGGGGCATTTTTTGATAAGATTTTGTTAATAAATGTGGCCTTGTTGAAAAGTAACCGTTTATGGAAGGGTAGTAACTTAAGATCTTTATGTAAACTGGAACTAACATCTTACTGAGGCAGTCAACATTTAGATGTTGTCTTTCATAGCCTAGACGTGGTGACCATCGGATCAAACAAAGTGCGGCCGACTTCCGACGTCGCCAATACAGACAGGTGGTTAACTTTGGAGGTTCTACTATATTCAATGTTTGCTCGTAATTTTCAATTCAAAAATAAAAGTGCATAAATGGTGTGAAATTGTCAATGAAATGTGCTGTGTGGGTTGCAGTGCCCCATTCTGGGCAGAAAAAGAACAAACCCATTGTCCCATAACATAAATGTAATAAAAGGCGAATAATCAGAAGTTGCAGTATGTGGTTTGAAGTTTCAACATCAGACTAACATCACGGCAAACGGGTAGTAACTCATAAGTGCTCCGTTCTTCTTCTAACTCAAGTCGAGTCGGAAAAAGCTCAGCACAGTGCGCAGGCTGTGTAACATCGATGAGGATCCTGAAATACTTGGGGTAGATTTTTAACTCCAAA